AAGGGTGGGGGAAGCCCCAGGACTATGGCCCTTCGACACCTTGCAGGCCTGAAACTGAACTCACCCCCAGGGCTCAACTTCCAACAGTGGTGGTGGTTAAGTGTTGTGGAGTCGGTTCCGACTCATAGCGACCCTGTATAGGGTTTCCGAGGCTGTAAATCTTTATGGGAGCAGAAAGCATCATCTTTCTCCTGCAGAACCACCGGTAGTTTCAAACTGCTGACCCTGAGGTTAGCAGCCTGGTGAAAAATAACACCAGAGAGGAACACACACCTTAAACCAATCAACCACACTAGATCAAAAGGGCAGCATCTGCCCAGGGAGAGCTCAGAAGGCAGGGAGGAACCAGAAACATGAAACACAGGGAGGGAAACTGTAGTCAGTGTCAGGAAACATAACGTGCTCAAACTGTTGAAAGCAAAACCAATTCACTCTGTAAACTTTCACTCATGCAAACTTTTTGTTTTTGTACATATTATATATATATATATATTTTTTGTTTGTTTGTTTGTTTACCATAATAAAATAAAATTTAAAAGCCTATTGCAACTGACCTGTTATTAAGTGCCGTTGAGTTGGTTCTGACTCGGAGTGACCCTGTCTAGGGTTTCCGAGGAGTGACTGGTGGGTTTGAACTGCCAAGCGATCGGGTTTTTAGCATAGTTGTAAATAGAAGGCCGTATTTATTTACGTATTTGAACACTGGTGGACTACTGTCTGTTTTTAGTGGCTGCCTAACAGTCTACCTGTTGTTGTTGTTAAGTACCATTGAGCCAGTTCCAACCCACAGCAATCCTGTATAGGGTTTTCCGAGGAGCAGCTAGTGAGCTTGAACTGCCGACCCTATGGTTCAAAGAGACTTTGCAGTCCAACGCCACACCAGGAATCCAACAGGAAGCTGTTAATGGTCCCCCGACAATTGGGCAGGCTGTTTCCAATGTTCACTGTCGTCAATAACTCAGGCATGGACATATCTGTGCAGAAAACACTGTCCTCACTTCAGGCACCTTTTTGTATGGCTCTTCCAGCTGACTAACTTTCCAACCTGCAATCCTACCAGCATCGGATAATGTAGTACCCATGGCTCCATAAACTCCACAAAAGTCTCGGCCCATCAAAAGAGGCAAAAAAAGATGCCCTCTGTTAAAACTCTTATGTCTCTGCCATCACCTGATGGTTGACTTGCCAGCTTTACTTTTGTTTTGGGCCAATTATCCATTCATGATGAGGTGGGCATTGGGGGTGCTGTCAGCAGACACTTTTAGGAGTCAGCTCTCTTGGACCATCTCTCTGTTGCAGAGTGCAACCTCGGCCAAGGCCACATACTCTGGGGCTGCCCACATGCTATGAGGTGAGAGGGATAAAGGCCTGGCTACCTCCTGTCACTGAGCCCCCCTCATGGGGTTCACTGAAGCTGTCCCTGACCGTGCATCATGGTCCAATTTCTCCCTCTGCTCCCGTTTCTTTACACAGGGAACCCTGTAATAAACACCCGCCACAGTGAACTCACCTCAGCATGCTCCCTGGGAAATGAAACCTACAATGAACGTCCTTGGGAAGTTTTTGTTACATTTTTTTTTTTTAAATTTCAGCCCAGGGTCTGGTCTGCTTCATTCTTAGGTGGACTGCCTACTCTTTTCCAAGACATCTGCAGATGATTAAGTAGACTTGTTGCTGGAACTTTTAGGTACCATGCAGGCGGTTCTGCTGTGGGATTCAACTCCTTGGAACCTGGAGCGCGAGACTACTTACACAGCCTGGAATGGAAGAGCTTTGTATGTCCAGGAGGAACTAGAGTCCTATGTCCTCTCCACTCCTGGTTTCCAGATCATTCTCTCTAACAGGGAAGACAGAAGTAAAGTAGGAGCAGAGATGTCCTACTTTTATTTGTCATTAGTTCACAGAGCGCCACCAGCCAGGGCCTGGCCGTCGCTGTGGAGTGGATTCTGATTCATGGCTGTTCGTGTGTGATCGAGGAAAACTCTGCTCCCTAGGGGTGTTGGTGGCTGATTTGTTGAAAGTAGATTACCAGGCCTTTCTTCTGAGGTACAGCTAGGTAGACTTGAACCTCCAATATTTTGGTTATCAGCTGAGCATGTTAACCATTTGCACTAAGCAGGGACTCCTCCTAGGCCTGTAGGTAACCCTTGTTACCCCTCCAGTCATTTGTCTTTGGGTTTTGTACAGGAAAAAGTAAAGAGTAGAAGAAAGTATATTGTTAAGTGCTATTGCGTCAGTTCTGATGCTTAGAGACCCTATATAGGGTTTTCAAGGAGCAGTTTGTGGATCTGAACTGCTGATTTTGTGGTTTGCAGTCCAGTGCTGATCTGAGATGACTGTAACAAACGCCCACATGTACCCACCAATCAGGAATGGCGACGGATTAGCAGTTTGTTACATTCACACCTGATTATTTTAATGAACCAAAGAAAACATCAAGTCAGAGTCATCTGTGCTTCTCTATGGAAGCATAGCGTCACAACTGTCACCTATGGAGTTTGAACTGTCGATCTTTTTTTAGTTAGCAGCCGAGTGCTTTAATCACTGTGCTACCAAGGGCACCTTAAAGTCCACTACTACTTCATTATAAGTGTGCAGTGCTTGAGGCAAACATTCCTTAGTGGTTGAACTAAACTGTCGTTTTGTGAGACACATTTCCCAGGATCGTTTTGGTTCAAGCTGTAAAGATTCGGGCAGCAGAACTGGGGATCTCTTTGTTCATATTATGCAGTTTATGGAGTCCTGGTGGGGCGATGCGGGTTAATGCGCCAGATTGCAAAGCCGTTTAAACTGCAAGATTGGCAGTTCAAGCTCACCCGCGGCTCCTCAAAATGCAAAACAGGGTCGCTATGGGTTGGAGCCGGCTCGATGGAACTTAACAACAACAACAGTGATGCTTCAGGAGAGCTGGTGTGGTGCTGTAGGAATAAACACTGGACTGCTAACTGTAAGATCGGCAGTTCAAACCTACCAGCTGCTCCTCTGAAACCCTACACAGTCGTTATGAATCAGAACCAACTCAACAGCCCTTAACAACATGATGCTCCAGGAGGGCTGGTGTGGTGCTGTAGGAATAAACACTGGACTGCTAACTGCAAGGTCGGCAGTTCAAACCTACCAGCAGCTCCTCGGAAACCCTGTTGTTGTTGTCAAGTTTCATCGAGTCGGTTCCAACCCATAGTGACCCTGTATGGGGTTTCCAAGGAGCGCCTGGTGAGCTTGAACCACCAACCTTGTGGTTCAAGCAACTTTGCAGTCCAGCACATTAGCCCACAGCGCCACACCAGGACTCCCTCGGAAACCCTACACAGTGGTTATGAATTGGAACTGACTCGATGACACTGAACAACAGCAGGATGACTTTGCGTGGTATCTTTAAGCAACACGAGCCCCCAGAGCCACATAGGACATGACACACAATCATACGCACAAGGAAACAAACGCCAGCCCTCTTCTTACAGGGTCCTGACCTGCCAACTGAGCTTTCACATTGATGTCATTAGAGTAATAACACCATGTCTGCCCCTTGTGTGAGTGAACCGCCTATGCTGTCACTTAGGGACAGCGTTTCTTTATAATACTTCATTAAAGAAACAGCTTTAAATACATACTACATGCTTACATTTTAATACTTATATCTTTTTTCACTATAACATTTAAAAAATAATCATTAGAGTTCGGATTTGGGTTCATCTGACTCATTAAACTACTCTTTTCCTAAAGTTTCAGTTTTGGAAATCCTCCAAAATATACATAGAGCCCAGTGCCTGCTCTTAGCCATGTCCAGTCCAACAATTCCTCCTGTCTGCCCCCAGCCCTCTGCAATGACAGGAATAAATCCTGTAGGAATGTAACTTCTCAGCCCTAATCCACTAGCTGCTCTCATCCCTCAGCAAGCTTCCAATCTTTTTTGGATGTATCCACCCTACCAGAACACCCCACCACCTCCCTGACCTCATGTCTTATACCTCATTCCTCTGCTCCAGCCACACCTTTCTGCTGGTCTGGGGGGAAGTCTGCCAGAGTCAGCCCCACCAACTTCTGTCTGACTCACTGCTCTGCCCTTAGTACCTCCAAAGAACCTGGTACTTATGGAGTGTTGCTGTTATCAGGTGCCATCACGTTGGTTCTGACTCACAGTGACCCCATACACAACAGAACGCAACTGCCCGGGCATGTACCATCCTCACAAATGCTGCTAATGTTTGAGCCCATTGCTGCTGCCACTGTGCCAATCCATCTCATTGGGGGTCTTCCTCTTTTTCACTGACTCTCCACTTTACCAAACATGATGCTCTTCTGCAGGGACTGGTCCTTCCTCACATGTCCAAGCAAGAGAAATGACACCTCACCATCTTCCTCCCTTCAAAGGAGCATTCTGGTTGTACTTCCTCCAAGACAGATTTGTGTGATCTTGGAGCAGTTGGTACTTTCAATTATTCTTTACCGACACTATTAACTCAAATACACGGATTCTTCTCTGGTCTTCCTTAATCATTGTCCCACTTTCACCAGGAAATGAGATGACTGCAAACACCATTGTTTGGGTTAGGCACACCTTAGTCCTCAAAGTGACACCTTTGTTCTTTAGCATTTTAAAAAGTCTTTTGCAGCAGATTTGCCTAATGCCGTATGTCATTTGATTTCTTGACTGCTGCTTCCATGAGTGTTGATTGTGGATACAAGCAAAATGAAGACTTGGACAATTTCAGTCTTAATTTATCATAATGCTGTTTACGGGTCTACTTGTGAGGATTTTTAAGTAAATGAGCAAATTCATCTAAATATGAAGCTGTAGGAAAACACATGGTAACTGAACTTCCTGTAAATCCAATCTTACTTGAACTTTTCTGCAAGGAACCCAGCTGGGCTGGGGAATCCGGCATATATTTGGGTTCCTCTAACGGGGATGGTGGAGATCAGGGAAAGCCCTTCCTGATCCCCACATTTCCCTGCTGCCTCCCAAGGGTGGTCTCCCAGGACATTACACCCTTTCTTACCAGCCAGTATCTCCATCCCATAACCGGAATCTTCGGAGGGCAGGTGCCCAGGTATCGAGTCTGTCATTTCCTCTGAGGTTGGTGAAGGGTCTGGGGATAAAATTGCGAATGACAAGCACATCCTCTGCCCCATCCTGATGACTTGGGGGGCCACCCCACCCAGCATCTACAGAAACCTCTTCAAGGAAGGACTTTGGGCTAATCCTTGGCCACTCCATAGGTCAGGCACCAGCCAGAGGGGTCTCAGTGGTCACTCCCATGGTTGAGTCTCCAGGAGCCAAGTACACCCATCCTTTAGATGGGGAAACTGAGGCTCAGGGGTTTGGATTCTGGAGTCAAGCCCAGCTCCTCTACCCTGTCCCTCAAACCCGAGAGCAGGAGACCAGGGAGGTGAAGGTTGGCGGGAAGTGAGGGGAGTTGGAATGGAAAGCTTCCCAAATGGCCCATCTGTGTGGCTGGAGAAAGCACACTTCAGACCCCATTCCTCTCAGAATCACAGAAACCACAGCCTGAGTACTGGCCGCGGCAGGCCTGCAGGAGACGGCAGAACAACAGGATCGTCCAGGAGGTTCTAGCTGGTTCTGTAGGGTCTGTTTGCAGGCCTTGGTCCTTACCCGGAATGGTGACCTGAATGATGTCCAGGTCCTCAGGCTCAATTTTGATGGGCCTCAGCCCACCAAGCTCCCCGGAGGGTCCTGCATGGAGAAGATGCATGCTGGGGTCAAACTGGGTACCAGTTTCTTGGCGTACAAAGCGAGTTGTCTTAGAATATTCTTGTGTCTGTGATTGGTTAGTGAGCATCCAGGAGAAGCCAGATCAGTCCCAAAGCTGTTGCCTGAGACAGGGATGGAAGGCCCAACCGGCACCCAGGAGGCTGACAGGCCCATCCTGTTCTCCCCAATTTGTAGGTCTGACCACTGAGGCACAGGCACAGTGGGAAGCATTGGTGGAGCCAGAGCCCACCCTCCCAACTGCATTCAGTCCCACCCATCCCTCTGTGCCCGTATGTGAGCTCCCAGCAAGCCCTGCGTCTGACTGGTGCAGAGGCTGTTATAACAAACACCTATGTGCACACTGCCAGCCATGATTCTGCCAGCATTTTGTCCTGTCTAGACCTGAGCAGACTCAGCACTACTCCAACCCCTCGCTCTGAGCCAGTCTGCTCCCGGGGCTCCCACCCACAGCACCCAGCAGGCCCACCCATTCTCACCTGGCCCACCGTCCTCGGAGATGCTGCCCTTGTCTGACCTGGGAAAGGACATGACATTAGTTGGGTCATGGGCTGCCCCACCTCTGTGTTGTACGCCCAGGCATTCAAGGCCCCAGGCAGCCACCCGATTAGGCATTCAACCCAACTGCGTCACCCAGCTTCCCAGGGCCCATGGGATGGTGCTCAGCCCTGAGTGAGATGTTCAGCGTCCCATTGGCTGGCCTACCATCCCCTCCAGCAGGGGTCTGGCCTGCTTGGGAGCTGCCTAGCACCGTTTTGGTCAATGCTCATAAAGGCCACCAAAGATGGCTGAGAAGAGAGGCTAAGGTGTGAACTGGCTGATCTAGGTGATTCCATCTCCCTCTCTTGGTGGCCCCCTAGGTGCTAACTGTGGTAGTGCACTCTCAGCTGCTAACCTGGAAGGTTGGAGGTCTGAGCCCACCCAGAGACACCTAGGAAGAAAGGACTGGCAATGTCCTTCAAACAAATCAGCCACTGGAAACTCTACGGAGCACACTTCTAACTCTGACTCACACATCATGTCAGAATCAAGTCGATGACAACCAGTCACATGAAACGCTGTGAGTGGAGGTGGGCTTGGGCTGGACATGGGGACTCTGGGAGAAATGCCCCATCCTTGACCCCAGCAGCTCAGTCGGGACACTAGTGGGTAGTGAACAGGCCTTGGTCTTGAGTGCAAGGCCCCCTGGACACTTAGCAGTGTCTGACCCAGTGTGAGATCAGGGAAGGCTTCCGGGAGGTGGTGGCCCCCAGCTAGATCGTGAAGGGACAGGGAACCTATCTGAGCTCCTTTCTCCTCAGCAGGCTGGTGTTTAGTAGCCCATGTGTTTATGGGGGTCTGTGTGTGAGGGCCTATGCATGCAGGGTATGGGGAGCGGGGAGGTCACTGTCCACAGGCACACAGAAAACAGACAGATGGACGGGAGCTGGGTCCTGGCGGGGGCAGGCCCTACCGAGCAGTTGTGGCTAGGTTGAGAACTGCCCCACGCGTAGCCTCTGCAGAGTTGTCTTCAGGCGAGCTGGCTGGCTCCAGCTTCGTGGTGTCTTTGGTAAACTTGTTCCCTGGGTAGAGAAATGGGGAGGGGGTCAGGACACAGGCTCTCTGGTCCCCTTGTCTGTGGGGGCTTCTGTGTGAAGATTGTGGGCCTCTCTGGGTCTCTGCCCTCTTTGTGGGCTCCCTGCCTAGCTGTCAGCAGCCAAGACCAAGTCGTGGTGAGAAACACAGTCCCTGGGGAAGGCACCGTAGTCCCCGTACCAGGGAAGGAGGAAGGAAGAACCAGGCTCCGGAAGACAGTAGCCAGGTTCTCAGGACAGGTGAGCTTCCTCCAAGGTTGCCCCAGGTTGGACCACTCTCTGAATATGCAGCATCATTCCCATTTCAGATAAGGAAACTTGAGGTCCCCAACACCTTGCCTATTGTCATAAAGCTGCTGTGTGATTGTATGTGTGAAGACCCATGTCCCTTTGCTGCTCTGGGAGAGCTGCCCACTGCACAGAGCAGAACAGCCTGGTGGCTTGAGCTTGCAGGCCCCCTCACTAGCAGGGGGCTTTAGTTCCTAAACGTGCAGATGAGGACTAAGACAGAACATTTTCTAGGGGGTTGATGACAGATTTAAATCAATAGAAACACGCTCGTGTCTCTGCCAGTGTTGGCTTTCTCATTCCCTGTCCAGAGCACATTCCGGTAGAGATGGAAGGGATGGGGGCAGGGGCTCAGCTGGAGGAGCCCTCTCATTACCTCATCCTCACGTGCCCCCAGGGAGGCACCCTGAGAACAGGGTGCAATGAAAGGACAGATCAGTACTCTCAGAGGGGTTGACCTGGGAACGTGGTGCCTGTACGTACATACCTGTGAAAATTCGCTCATCAAACATCCTGGGGAGAGAGGAGAGACATGCGTGAGAAACTCTCTATCTAGGGCACTGTTCTGTTCTGACACACAAGCGGCACCATGTCAGAATCAGCTCACGTAGGGGTAGGCCCATGTGGCTCAGGGACACAGCCTCCAGGTCCCCTCAGTGATGGTTACTGGGGTCCCACATGCACAGCTAGGCACCCAGGATGGCCACACAAGGGGGGTACAGTACAGAAGAACCAGAGACACCCAACCAAACCAATTCTCTGAGACTAGGGAGACCTGGTGTGGCGCTGTAGGATAAGCACTAGACAAGGTGGGTTTGAACCACAAGGTCAGTGGTTCAAACTCACCAGTCGCTCCTTGGAAACACTAAACAGGGTTGCTATGAGTCAGAACCGTCTTGATGACACCTAACAACAGGGAAGACTGAGGTCAGTACCTGGACAGTCCTGGGGTCCAACTCATCACCAAGACACCCCAGGGCCTCTTCCAATCCAGCTCTGCTTGGTTCCCAGTGGGGTCCTGCAGTGACCACCTCATTCATTCATCCCTAGAAGTCTATCCAACACCCTCGTGTCTCACTTGGTGACAGGTGTGGGGTAGTTCTGCTCCCAGGAGCTTTTTGACTACATAAGCCAGGCCTACCCATGATGAGGGGGTGGATCAAGAAGGCTTACATGGAGTGAAGGGCGGGGAGGGGGATGCATGCTCAGGTAAGACCACCAAGAAACTCTTCAGGCACATGACATGGAGGCAGAGGTGGGGGAGGCAGTCAGCATCGCACACTGTACCCAGGTACCTGACCTGGTCTCGGAGCAGTGGGCAACAGGGAGCCCCCTGGAGGTGGGTGTGGGCAGGGGCTGTTCAGGGACTCCAAAGTTCCCCAGGCAGGACATCTAGACATGTGGGCCAAGGGAAGGAGGATGGGGGCTCTCAATGGGCAGAGCTGGGGGGTCCACAGGGCTGGTATCCTGTCTCACCCCCAGGGTGATGCCCAGTGCGATGGGGAGGCTGAGGCTGGACAAGGGTCAGTAAACTCAGGCCCCTGAGGCAAGACTCAGGCAAATGAAGGGCCATCTGAGTTCACATTCAAGGAGGCCCATGGGGAACTGCCAGGAAGAAACTCCCAACAGGCAGAAAAGTTCCTGGTGGGCGGTAGAACCTGGTCCATGAGCCCAGCTCCCATTTGGAGACCCCTTCTTCTTGAGGAGCCCAGTCATGTCTGGGTCCCCCAAAGTCAAGAAGCTGCTACCGGTGTAATTCAGGGAAAAGCGGGCTGCTCTTGGATGGCATTCGGCTTCATTACTGAAGGGACTATTTCTTTCTAAGGAGTTCAGGGAGGGCTGGGCAAAGATGGTAAGGGGCTTCCCAGTCCCAAGTGGAGCTGGGGCTGGGGGAACAGGGAAAGGTCTGATGTGGCCTCAAAACTATAACTGATGACCTCATGAGCCACCCAGACTAGATGGCGTCTAAAGGCTGGGCACTGAAGAAGAGCCTTCCTTCACAACTCAGAGTTCTAGAAGCTCCACCAGATATATTTTCCACTCAGGTTCTTCCTTAGTCAGAACCAGAATGTCTGTGCCTCAGATCCTCTCACTCTGGAGGTCACAGGTCAGCAGGAGGTGGGGCAGAAGCCAGGAAGCACTGCACCACGAAGATATAGCTACAACGTGGTTGTGAAGGGGACTTTTCCCCTTATAGGAGCACTCTGACCTCTCCTGACCCCGTGCCTCAGGGAGCTGTGGGCCAGGGCACAGATGTGGCGCCACCTCTTGGTTGTTTCTCAGGTGTTTTTCTCCTGTCACACAGGGGGGATGAGCTCCCTGTCTGCTAGAAGGATGCCAGCTTGTCGAGAATGGAGTGTGTCATGGTGAACAGGTATGAGTGCTGGGAAAGGTTCAGGCACAGTTCCATGCGCCCAACCCAGGTTCGGCCCTCCAGTCTCCCACCAGCACTATGCATGACTGAGCCTCAAATGGACAATGGTTATCAGCCCCATTTTACAGACAGGGAAAGTGAGGCACACAACAGCTTTGCCACTTGTCCAAGGTCACCCAGCTGGGATGATAGGGCCAAGACTTGAACCCAGACTGCTAGAGCCGATGCTCCGAAATATAATTTAGACACAAGGGAAGAGGCCAAGAAAAAGGCTCACATGTTGGGTGTTAGGACCAGACCCTTAATTCATGCTGGAAAAAACCTGGGACGTGTGCATGACCATCCCTTTTTATACATGAGGAAACTGAAGCTCAGAAGGAAAGCTGCTTATACAAAAGTTATAGTTAATACACTCGGCTGCTAACCAAAAGGTTGGAGGTTTGAGTCGACCCAGAGGAGCCTCAGAAGAAAAGCCTGGTGATCTACTTATGAGAAAATCAGCCATTGAAAACCCCAGTGGAGCACAGGTCTATTCTGACATACATGGTGTAGCTGTGACTTGGAATTGACTTTGTGGCAACTGGCAGTGATACAAGTTTATCCTGCTGCAAGTGAGCAGTTCAACCCCAGGCCACCTTATGCCAAAAGGCCTTTCCTCCAGGCAGCCCCCCCGGGCTTGCTCCTCAGGTATCACAGAGCTCTTCTATCTGGCAACTTTTTCTTTTGACACACCCTCAACTCATCACAATGGGACAGTGGCCTTTCGGGAAAAGTAGGGGCTGTACCTAATGCTTCTTGAAGTTACTTCATCACCCCTACTTTGGACATGGGAAACATGGTAGCTCTGTAGGATAAGCACTGAACTGTGAACCACAAGGTCCGAGCTTCAAGCCCACCACCCGCTCCATGGGAGAAAGATGAGAGTTTCTCCTCCTGCAAAGATATACAGCCTTGGAAACCCTATACAGGGTCACTATGAGTCGGAACTGACGCGATAGCCCTTAACAACAATAACCATTTTGAATATGTTATCAGGAGGGACCAGTCCCCAGCGAGAACATCAAGATTAGTGAAGTGGAGGGTCAGATAAAAAGAGGAAGCCATTCATGCGGTGGACTGACCCAGTGGCAGTCACAATGATTGTGAGGGCAGCGCAGGACTAGACAGTGTTTCATTCTGTTGTACACAGCGTCGCTGTGAGTCAGAACTGACTCGCCGGCACCTAACAAATAACAGTCAGGACCAAGGGACAGGGAGGTCAAGGTCTCCTAAACACCAGGATTCGGTGTGTATGGAAAGTGACAGAGTGACCATGATGCGCCCCCTAGTGGTAAAATTCTCACTTTCCATGTGGGAGACCTGGGTTAGATTCCAGCCAATGTACCTCACTGCACACAGTCACCTCCCTGTCAGTACGGTGCCGCCGCTTTGATACTGAACAGGTCACAGCAGAGCTTGCATAAGATAAGCCAGTGAGAAAGGTCTGGGCATCTCCTGAAAATCAGCCAACAACAACCCCACAGATCACACCAGTTCAATTCTCAACTGATCATGACAATGATGCTGTGTGGGGGGTCAATGTGAGTTGGGGGCTGATTCAATGGCAGCTAACAACAGTAACAACAACAACACATCCCCTCACCACCCAGGAATCCACTGAGGGAAAAGGGACTAGACAGCAGAAGGAAAACTTAAGCTAGATCTAAGTTGGCTGGTGTCAATTCACCTCAAGTAGGGGTCCCCACAGAAGAGATGGTGGGTGACTCAGATGAAGAAGAGCCTTGGGTTGCCAGAGGGTAGACTTCTGTCTGAATAAGAGATAACCCGGTTGCCATCAAGTTGATACCAACTCAGGGCAACTCTGTATGACAGAGAAGTGTGCTCCAGTGGCTTTTGAACGACTGATTTTTCAGAATAAGATCACCAGGTCTTTTGTCCGCGGTGCCTCTGGGTGAACGTGAACATCCAACCTTTTGGTTAGCATCCCAAGGACTCCTAAGGGAGGGCTTTTGACCACAGTGGAGGTGAGCCTTAAAGTGTGGGGGTGGGGAGCCTGTGCTGGGCAGATAGATGGATCTCTGGGAGATGTGGAAGCAGGTAAGGTGCCCAGGGCTTTGGTCTTCCTTGTATGTGGGGCAGGCAGAACCACACCAATGGCTAAAACCTGCACTTTATCCCGGGGGTGGAGTGAAGGCTCCGAGTCAGGGGGCTGCAGGTCAGAGGGGCTTCAGAATCCCCTCCCTGGGAACGCTCCAGCCTCCGTGTCCACCAGCCTCCCCAGTTCCTCCTCCTCCTCTCTTAGACTTCTAACCTGGGGCCTCTTTTACCTCTTCCAGGCCCAAGATGACAACTCACAAATTTCTACCTTTAACCCTAATCCCTCTCCTGGGCCTCTCATATCTCCACTGGGCCTCTGAGAATTTACTCTTTCGAGCAGCTCCAGCTGAATGTGTCCAACATGGAATCCTCTCTCCTACAGCCAAGACCAGCTGCTCCCATTCAATGCCCCAAGAAATCTGGGAGAGGTCATCCTGGCCCCTAGGCAAACAGATCACTAACAATGGACCACAATCCTCGGTCCCTCTGTCTGCCACACACTGGGTCCAGTCCTACCACAGTCTGTCTGGACCACTGGTCTCCCCACCTTTGTTCGGGTTTCCCTAAAATCCATTCCCCACCCTATCCCAGCATGTTTTCTGATTCTGGTGCTGACCTGCTCTTCTAGAACATTCCAAACTAAGACCCCACCCCCAGCCTCTGCTCAGCTCCTGGACTGCCCGTGCCTGTCTGCCCAGACACCCCCCAGTCCTTTCTCAACCTGCCAGCTTTGGCTTAAATGGCCCCTTCATAGAGATCCCCTGACCCCTAAGTAGTTATCTCCCCCCACCTCACTTATCTCTTCCAATTACTATTTATTTCCTAAGCTCTAAGAAGTCGAACTTTCAGCTGTCAGTCTGTCCTGCTGTGGGGGGCTCATACGTGGCTCTGATCCTGGAAGCTATGCCAACACTAGTTCTATTACCAGTAGGGTGACCCTGTTGGTATTGGAATCAGTGGACAGGTTTCCATGGAGCCTCCAGACCAAGACAGAAAGACCAGGAAGAAAGGCCTGGCCATCTGCTTCTCAACAAGAGTCAGTGAAAACCTTAAGGATCCCAACAGAACAATTGCTGAGGAAGGACGTCATGTTTGGTGAGGCAGAGGGCCAGCGAGGACCAGGGAGACCTTCTGTGAGATGAACTTGAGATTGGGAGGATGAGGCAGGACTGGGCAATGTCAAGGTCACTGTGAGTAGGAATTGACTCAACAGCATCTAACCAGAAGTCAGAAAGCTGAGCCCAAATTTAAGACAAATATTCATTCATTCATCTCATAATCTGTATTTGGCATCTACTTACATATACACACTCATGGATAGTGATGTGGGATAAAGTGTTGTTGTTGTGTGCTGTGGAGTCCGTTGCGACTTATAGCGACCCTGTACAGGGTTTCTGAGGCTGTAAGTCTTTATAGGAGCAGAAAGCTTCATCTTTTTCCCACGGAACAGCTGGTAGTTTCGAACTGCTGACCTTGCGGTTCACAGCCCGATTCGTAACCACTACGCTACCAGAGCTCCTTGTGGGATAAAGTACTGGACTGCAATATCAGTTTGAACCACAAGGTTGGTGGTTCAAACTCATCAGCCGCTTTTTGGAAACCTTATACAGGATCGCTATAGTTGGAACTGACTCAAAGGCATTTAACAACAATATACACATCAGGGAATGTTCTAGGTGCTGGGGGTTTGGCAGTGAACAGAGTACATAGCACTTGCTTAGCTGTGCTGGCAGCCTGGTGGCTGTGACCAGCAAGAGACCGTGGGTGATATGTCTGCCACAGTCTCTGGGCAGTTCTCTATCCCTAACCGTTCAGTAAGAGGATGTCCAGGAAGTCTGGGCTTTGCCTGGAGATGCTGACATCACTTGGTGGTGAGCTGACCAGCTATGTGGACATGGCCCTTGCAGGAGCTAAGGATACAGACTGGGGGAAGAATGGGAGCAGGTGCCCCGGGGGGCTGCAGCTTGTTAAGCCACACACCCACCAACCCCCATTATTGCACTAGTGGAAAGTGGCAGCTTGAGAGGACCAGTGAAGGTCAGTGAAAAAGAGGAAGACCCTCAGCGAGATGGATCGACACAGTGGTTACAACACTGGGCTAAAATGGGAAGACTGAAGCTGGTGCCACCCCTGCCTGAGCTTCGAGTGGTCTTCCTCATGGCAGTGGGGTTCAAAGCCTCCGGTCTTCTTCAGGGAATGGAGAACCACCCTTAATGAGAACTTCTGGGGCGCTGCTCAGCCCAAGCACTAGGCCTTCCATTCCCCATTCAACCTTCAAATGGGGCCCACAGGATGAGGTCCTCCAAGATGCTGAGTCGAGGAGCCGCCACAGAACTCTTCATTCCACCTCTGCCCCAACAGCCGCCCCTACCCAGCCAGGACTCCCACTCGTAGGGATCCTTCCCTGTATCCTGCACCCCACTTCTAGGTCCTGGCCCTGCACCCCACCTCCAGGTCCCCGGTCCTGCCCTGAACCCTGTACCTCTTGATGATAAAGTGGATACTGTGCCGCTCCTCCAGGATCCGCTTCAGCTTGGGGACCCCATACGTGCAGGGGCGCTTGAAGGGGATCTTGTCTGGGATGCCCACAATCTCCACAGCCTCGGGGTCGCAGGCGATCTTCCTGTAGGGGACGGGGACCATGTGGTCCAGGCCCAGAGCTTCCGCTGGAAGGGCAACGGCAAGGCTGAAGGGTAGATGAGGCAGCCGGAGACCCAGGGCCCCAGTACCGCAGACACGGCCCCCCTCCATGACACCACTCGGCAGCAGAGGGCACTTCCCTCTATAAAGATGTCCACAGAACCCAGGTTCCATGAACCCCATGACCGTGGACCTCCGGCTCCTGCCAGGCACACACCAGCTCAGGGCCTTGCACTTGATCTTCCGTCGGCTCACTGTGTCCAGATACCTCCCTCCCTCCCTCCCTCCCATGTCTGCTAAATGTCATCTCAGCAGCCAAGAACATGTCTCCAGCTTCTACCCCACACTGTGTCCATTAGGTGTGGTGCTGCAAGATTAGCACTGGACCACAAGGTCGGTGGTTCAAATCCGCCAGCCACTCCTTGGAAACCCAAAACAGGGTCGCTGTGAGTCAGAAGCGACTTGACAGCAATATATAGACATGACAGAAGGGAGCCCTTGGTGGCACAGTGATTAAAACACTCTACTGCTTACCAAAGTTCAGGCATTTGAACCCACCAGCAGCTCCAGGGGAGAAAACTGTGACAATTTGTGTAAAGATGACAGCTTTAGAAATCCCATGGGGCCGTTCTACTCTGTTCTGTAGGGTTAGAAGTTGGATGGAGAACACTTGATGACCGAGGGTTGGATGGTATGTGTATGTGCGTGTTGTCATTCTTAAGTGTTGTCAAGTTAGATCTGACTCATAGTGACCCTGGATGGGGTTTCTGAGAAGCAGCTGAGGAATTTGAACCACCGACCTTGCAAGTAGCTGTCCAGTGCTGATCTTACAGCGCCACCACAGGACTTCATATATATATATAGCTGGTAGTTTCAAACTGCTGACCTTAAGGTTCGCAGCCCAATTTGTAACCACTATGTTACCAGAGCTCTCTCTCTCTATTGTTGTTGTTGTTGTCAGGTGCCATCGAGTCGGAACCGACTCATAGCGACCCCATGCACAGCAGAGCGAAACAATGTTCGATCCTGGGCCAACCTCACCACCGCTGCCACCCCCGAGTCCATCAATGATGCCACCTGGCCGATCCATCTCGTTGGAGGTCTTCCTCTTTCTCTCTCTCTCTCTATATATATATTATATATGTACACATGGATCTGACTTATAGCGACCATCTAGGTCACAGAACTGCCCCGTAGGGTTTCCAAGCCTGTACATTTTTATGGAAGCTGACTGACAGCTCTTTCTTCTGTGAACCTGCTGGTGGTATAATGGTTAAGTGATCGACTGCTAGTAATAAAGGTGGTGATTTGAAGAGGAGTTCAAATTGTGATCTGAACAGGAGTTCACAGGAGTCCTAGTGTGGTGCTGTAGGAAAAGTGCTGAACTGCTCACTACAAGGTCAGTAGTTCAAACCCAGCAGCCACTCCTTGGAAACCCTATACAGAGTTGCTATGAGTCAGAACCAACTTGACAACATTTAACAACAAAAAGCAGTGAGTAGTCTGTTTCCACAAAGATTCACAGCCTTGGAAACCCAATCTATGGGGCAGTTTTACTATATTCCATAGGGTCACTATGAGTCAGAATGACTTGTCAACTGTGGGTTTTAAACTTTATATCCCACGAACTATTACTGCTCTTTGTCCTCTGTTCAGCCAACTGATCTTTTCTCTCCCCACTTAGGCGAGGAAGTCTCCAGGCAATGGAAGTGTTCTTTGTTCACTTACAATCTGTCTTTAAAGCCTTCTCTTATCCTGTCTGGTAGGAATTTGTTTCTTCTTAAAGACCCAATCAACTTGTTTGCCTTCTGGGAATCTCTTCTTCCCTCTTTCTGGTTCTGCCTGGTGTACATGCGTCCTCTTCAATCACTGGGGGGGAACTCCCGGAGGGGGGCTGGGACTAGATATTTTTCACCCTTGTCTTTTCTCCTTCCACTCCCCATTCCAGTCCGCGTTCACCAATCGTGATTCTAGTTAACGTCTTCATGGTTTCTTAGGTGCCAGGCACGGGTCTGAATGTAGCACCTTGAATGTATTTTTCTTCAATTTCATAACGCGCCCAGCATTCCCCTTTGATAGAGGAGGAACAAGCCAGAGGAGAAGCTGGGGAGTTTGCTCTTGCTTATCCAGGAAGTCCACCTTGTCACTCTAAGCTTTTGAGGCCGGTTGAATTAGAGCCCCCTGAGCCTTCCTGGAAAATCTGAAAACCAATGCTGCTGGGTGGCCCCCATCCAAGAGGAGCCAGAGAAGTTGCCTTTTGATTAAGCTCCCAGGTGGTCAGATGCTGCTAGCCCTAGGATGGCACTTACACACCATACACAATAGTATGAAGTTTAGTTAGAAGTCAGGGGAAATTTCAGAGGGGTCCAACTGGCACGGTGGGTAAGCCCTCCACTAACAGAAAGGTCGGCAGTTTGAACCCACCAGCCACTGTGCGGTGGAGCCAGAATGACGTGGCAGTCTGCTCCGGTAACAATGACAGCCTTAGGAACCCTCTGGGGCAATCCTCCTCTGTCCTAAAGGGAAGCCGTTGGCAATAGAGTTTGTCTTTGTTTAATTTTAACTGTTTATTGTGAACTGAAGAAGCTCTGGTAGCGTAGTGGTTACGAATTGGGCTGCGA